TTTTCACCTTTTAAACTTGAACTACTTTTTCAAATAACACTTTATTTAAAAAAAAACCCTTAGGCCTCTTCTCCTCTTGAATATCTTCCTCACTAAGGTTTTTTTTAATTTTTATTCCTTGTTGTGGTTGACTAGTTCAATTTCGGGTTTGCCTGTTTCGAGGACCCACTTTGTGTCACTTTGCACCATATCCGCGCCAACCCGCATCCCACGGTTGCAGTACGTCCCAAATCTGCTACCGGTAACTTGGCTCTGCGACACCTACGAGTATACCTTACCGTACTAGAGCACACCACGTTAATTAGCTAGTGATGCGGTCGGGGACAACCATTATCCCCCGGCAAATCCACCGCAATCTCTTCACGAAATCACCAATATGCCTCACCACTACTACCACCATTGCCTTGAAAGCCGTCCAAAACCATATTGTTAGAATGTCCTCTGCTAATACCCCCACGGTCCCCCGGGTTAGCGCAAGGTATCCTCTCCCCACATCCCCGGGCCTTGGGCGCATCAGCTAACAACCCACAAAGTCTAATCCTCCTCAACCCCAAAAACGAGCTCCTTCTCGTCCACCGACCCACCCACTCCAGCACCTTTCCCGGTTCCCACGTTTTCCCGGGGGGTGCCGTCTCCCCACAAGACACGCCCACCCAGACAACCCCGCTCCTAGAAACCCTAAAGCTCTGCGCGCTCCGCGAGACATTTGAGGAGACCGGGGTTCTCCTAACTATCACTCCCCCGCCGCCCACCCTAACCCCAACCCTGCTAGCCGAAGCCAGAAAGGCAATCCACGACTCGGCGTTAACATTCCCATCCTTCCTACAGTCCTACGGCTTAACACTAAATACTAGCGCTCTACACTCCTTCACCAAATGGATAACTCCAAAAACCGTGCCCCGGCGCTTCGAAAGCCAGATCTTCGTCACTTTCGTCGACGGCGAGCAGGTGCCCAGCCACGATGGTGGCGTGGAAGTCCTCTCTGCGAAGTACTTGACGCCTTCGCGTGCCTTGCAAATGTCGAAGGATGGAGAACTAGTGTTCTCCCCGCCGCAGTTTTATTTAGTAAGGAGGATTGAGGAGTTTGTTTCCGTGGATAATGGGGGAGAGCGGGGAAGGAGGAAAGTGCTTGAGATGGCGGATGGGGAGTTTGGCACAATGGTAATGGAACCCCATCCTATACGATTGTTGGATGGTGGGAAGAGGGTGGCTATGGGGTTGGGCGAGAGGGGGGATAAGGAGTGGGCCGTTGTCATTGAGATACCCGACGATAGGAAGAATGGGGGGCTAAAGGGGGTAGAGTTAGTTAGGAGGGAGCATGTAGCGAAGCTGTAGATTGGCGGAGGGTTGTGGGGTCAGAGTGGGGGTGTTCCTTTAGCGCTAGTTGAACATGTAAACTTTCACTAATTTCCATAGATCACCGTATTAATGCAAGACACCCACTAAGCGTTATCCGCACAGGCCATCACTTTCAGTGCTCAGTCCTGGCTCCACAGTAAGGGAAAGTAGTAAGCTGGGAGCATCATTCTAGTGTATGTAGCGGGAGCCTATATTTATCAGGAAAACCAGTATAAAACCGAAGCACACGTTCCTAACTCAGAAGTACCGAGCAGTTACCAGGCCCCAAGAGTTGATATTCGTATCGTAGAGCTTAAACATGTGTAGGGGTGGCACTGTATACAGCAAGTGATCAAGGGCGCAAACACAGAAACAACAAGTACTTATCCTTAACGACAGGCACGAGAACCAGACGCGGTTCAGAAAATCTTGATCCCGGCAGTAAGCCTATGGCGCATTATCTGAGAGAAGGGAGCACAACGCGGCGCAATAGAGAAGCATACTGCAGACACAGGCATCAAGCGAAAGAGAAATGGTTTCAGATTACGATTGATGGTCAATGAGAGAGCGGACAGCTAGGAAATAGTAAGAGTAAGAGGAGATAGTGAAGGCTCTCGAGAACCGCGATGGTAGAAGTTAAGGTACCGCTGGAGCAGTCACAGCCGGGATCACAGCACGCTCTAGGATAGAAGACATAATTGTTGATGTATCGACGCTTGATGAATCCGACGCTAATTAGAAGTTTCTAAGCACAGAGTTCTGAATCCGACATACGGCGCAGAAGCCGTGATCAAAGATAAACAATCCAAAGTGGGCGGAAAAGTGCTATCCAATAAATTCCCAGGTGCCATAGGTGAGTGCATGCTTATTTAAGAGCGGGAATAGTCTATGAGTGGGTGATGGCCCGAATGAACCCTCTCACTAGTCCAAGCCAAAAAAAAAAAAAACTTGGTGTAAGGGGGTGTACGGCGGAAATGGGATCAAACCGGGTCCTCAAAACAGGCCAAGTGCGATCCCGAACTAGTTAACCACAACAAGGAATTTAAAAAAGAAAAAAAGCGCTGAGAGGAAGAAAATTGAAAGGAGAACAGGCCAGGACATTTTTCTTCCCAATCAAGTGTTGTACAAGAAGGTGGTTCAAGAATGAAAGTGAAAATTCGTGTGAGAGTGAAACAAGTGATTGAATATACCTAGTGACATGACAAAAAATATTGTGGCAGATGGATGACTAAGAGAAGTATACGATCAACAAAAATGAGCCTAGAATTCTGGTATATGAGAACATTTTTCATCAATATACATAATTCCTTTTATTTCTGTCTTATCTACTATTCTACTCATTCCCGGGCTAATAGCCGGTTACCCTCCTATTCACTTTGCTCATAGTCGGGATAAGCAAGTGTGACGGATAAGCAAGTGTGACAGATAAGCAAGTGTGACAGATAAGCAAGTGTGACGCTTTTGGGTTTTTTTTTTTTTTTTTTTTTTTTTAGACCAAGGCCAGCAACTGGATTACTCCAACCACCCAAACAGCCTAGCGAGACCACCAGTTCAGTACAATACAGATGTCGGAAGCTATGGAAAAGCTTGGGGTGAAGAAGTGCTTGGATGCAGCAATGGAATGGCTAGGAGAGGAGCCAGGTGAAAAGGCGAGTACTGCAGCTAAAATCTTTAATGTCAAACAGTCATCGATTCATATGTGCCAATACCAAGAATGCCATCAACAGAGAAACAATCATGGTACCTTCAACCAGCATAGAGGGAATAACCTTATCCTTACAGTGGCTCACGAGGAAGTAGTTTTCTGGTTCTGCTATACACCAATTAGAGATGGGACTAGGAGCAACCCCCTCCATTATTTATGCAGCAATCTGCCAGCTCTGTCAGCAAGAACAACACAATCCTCCCTCTCAGATATGGTTTTGAAAATGACTTAAGAAGAATCCTATGCTTTATACAATTAAAACAAAGCCAATTGCTCAGGCTCGAGTTGCAACCCATAGTGGAGAGGATCTAAAGAGCTTTTTTATTGAGTATCAGAATACTCTCACAAAGTATGCCATGTGTGATCAAATGTGCTAAATATATCTACAATATGGCCAAGTCTGGAGTTCATGTTGGATACCCTACTAGTGAAATAGTTATTGTTCCAACTTATGTGAAAGAGTTGTATACAGCAAACCAAATCTCGACAAAGTATTCAGAAAGGTGGTATCATTACAGTTGAACAAGTGAGACAGAAGACAGCAGAAAAAGAACTGAAAGAAAAGGCTGCAGCAATTAAGAAAGCTCAAAAGGACATTTAGATTACAGTCAATAAGGCCAAGATAGCCTTTTACCACCATAGTATTGATGCTCGCCAAGCAGAAAAAGATAGGAAAAAGCAGGTTTAAATTATTTTGGCTCAAGGTTGGATTTCTTAACTTGAGCTGATGATTCCTATTTTCAATTCAGAGAAGAATCCAAGTTCAGAGAACCGTAAGAACCTTCAACCACCTTCAGATCAATTGCAGGCCTTATTACTCCTTGAGTCAAGTGCTCTTAGAACTACAGGTACAAGTGAGGATGAAATTATTACTGAAAGTACTGAAGTTGTACAAAGGAACATTGAAATTGGAAGAAGTCAGCGGGGGGGACAGGAAGTGATTGTGAAGATCTGAGCAGTGAATCAGATTCTGATTCATCATGTACTTCTTCAAACTCAATTATAAGAAATGTGGACTTTGTAACCTTTAATTAAAGTCATGTAAGTTATACTGAAGTAATAATATCTGATGGATAGCTAGAGTTTTGTCAACCTATCTACAAAAAAAAAAGAAAAAAAACCGAAGCATCACAATTGCTTATCCATCACACTTGCTTATCACGACTATGAGCAAAGCGAATAGGAGGGTAACCGGCTATTATATCATATCATTTTGCTTTATTTACCATGTCCTGTCATGTCTTGGCACAACCGGGATTGGTGGCAATAAAATTGCAATTCCACCAGAGGATTGACCTTTAGGCACTTTGTACCATAAGAAGAGCAAAATTAATGTAAACATATAATACCAATCTCAGATAACAGAACTTTTACTATCAATACATCAACATGTAGTGGGTGGTCACAGTGACAATGGAAAATGGGGGTCTTAGCACTCAAATTCTCTTAGCAAAGCCTCAGTCATAAAGGCAATTGCAACAACAGATCAAGAGTCTGTTAGAGAGAATGAGAAGTAAGTCAACTGTTCTGTTTCGCAACAGTTTCACATATAAAAACAGTTGTCTTTCCATTCTGAAACTGTCAAAAATGGTCACTTTGTATGGGGTAACAGAACAGAACTGTTGCCAAACAGGTCTCAAGCAGTTTGATTATTTGAGTTTCTATGAGTATGTGGTGAATCGTCTGTAGGGACAGGTCCGTTGTGGGTGGAACAGTTTCGATGAGGATTATCAGATGTTCCCAGCCTTAAACCAACCTGAACCATGGAGGAATGATGGGATTTGTTTTAGTTGTGCTTGCAGTATATTGATGGGAGGATTTGAAAACAAGGTACTGGTATTTGCGGAAAGATAGAGGATGATGTTTTATGAGGATGATTAGGTTGTTTTTAGATAGGAATTTGAATGCCGGGAGAGGTGATACTCTGTGAAGATATGACAGCCTGGTAGTTGATGACTGAGTGCTATGGCCGTGGAAAGATGGAATGGTGATAGTATAAAAACTGAGGAAATTCAAGTTGGCTAAGTTTGTCCCAGGGCCCCTTAGTTCCAGGGCAGTCCCAAGTACCTATTCTTGGAAGCATGGCCGAGTAGTGTTTGTCTGTGACTGCCTAGTTTGTTGGGATTCATGTCCCCCCTGCATGGGCAGCATTTTCACCACCCCCTGGTACCCAGCGATACAGTACCACAGAGTGGTGTTTTATTATCGTAATCTAATTTGTTAGGATTGATGTCATCACATTGGAGTAGCATTTTCACCACTCTCTCATGCCCATAGTGGGCAGCACAATAGAGTAGTATTCACCCTATATTATCTGGTTTGTTGGGCTCAACATCGTTCTATCTAACTAGTATTTTTACCACTCAGGCTTCTGCATGCCCATTCTAGACAGCATACTAGAATGGCGTTTGGCCCTCGTCATTTGATTTGTTGGGGTTAATGTTATCTCACCTGAGTAGCATTTCTACCACCTCCTCATGCTCATAGCAAGCCCCTCACCTGAGTGGTGTATTACCCATTCAGCCTTCTTGGTTGGTATCACAGCCCTCTGCGATGACTAATTCAGCTAGAATCTCAACAATTCCAAAGGCCAATGCACAGTGCAGACAACCAATGGGCAAAGTTTGTTTAAATCAACAGTATCCTGATAGTTCCCTTCTGATTCCAGGAGGATTCTAGTAGGGTTGGTGGTTGCCCTAGCCATCAAGCAGCTTTGGTGTAAGTTATTTATCATAATCTGAAAGGTCACATTTCCCGTGGACTGCTAAATAAAGGCTGAATATCAGGTGACAGGTGTGCCTTGAAGATTGGGAGTAGGTCTAGTTGAAAGAGTCTGGACTTGCTCAGAATTTAGATAATTTAGATAGGTTTTGGTAATCACCAAGAAAGCTGGATTAAAATTGTTTATAAGTACTAGATAAATAGAGGGGAGAAAGGTTTGTCATTACTAATCAATGTTGTAACAGGGGCTTTCTCAGGAAGATGGATCCCAAGGATGCGACCGCACCAAACTTCGAATCTCTCGAACAAAGCTCTTGCAAATTTGTAAAGAATAAAAGTAACAGTAAAACTTAATATCGTTAAGCTCAGGCATATCTCAATTAAAGTCTCTCGAGAGGATGTTGATTCTGTCGAGGTAGGAGAGTTCTCGTACAATCTTTAAGTAGTCAGACTTATACCAAAAACTCTCCTATCAGGTTACTCCAACCAATATGAGTATGCCCTTCTCCGTAAGGGTTGCCCCAGCACCATTACTGCGTCCCCAAAGGGCTTAAGGTGTCAGCGCACTCTAGCAGGATTCTCCTGTATACACTTCAGTTCCTGCGAGGTGGTTACCAATAAACTTGCCAGAGTGAAACCCTCTGTGCATCGGTGTCTTGTGAGTGGCTAACTGTCGAGTCACCTAG